CATGGAGGATCATGGTAATAAAGTAATTAGGTTTTCAAGTTTTTGAGATTTAGAGTTCCATAAATATTCATCAATATGTACATATTTTTGAAGAGCAAAGTGAATTTTTAAAATCATGTTGCGAAAAAATAAATAAATAACTAAAATTGGAGTGTTCCCAAGATCTGTAAAATGCATCCAATGTGTTATACATCTATTTTATGGGAAAAAACATGAAATGTATATGTTCATCATATTTCAGTCTAAAGATTATGGATTTTATTGATTTACGTTGTTGAATAGTTAAAGAATTTAATATAGTTTTCTTATAATTGTTCCAAGTCTCTTCTTTTTATTTAGATATTTTGGAGACTTTTATCTATGAAAATTTATATAAACCTCAAAGAATTTAATATAGTTTCTTATAATTGTTCCAAGTCTCTTCTTTTTATTTAGATATTTTGGAGACTTTTATCTATGAAAATTTATATAAACCTCGTTCCTAGATACTGTAACATTGCATGTAAATACAGCTAATAATTCTATTTATAACTAATGACAACAGTAGCATGTTTAGTTTGGAGATCTGATATGGTTATTGACCTGCAATTAGTGCGAATATGTTTGAAGCTATGTAATGTACTTGCAATGAACTTCTTTGCATCAGTACATATTGTATATCAGGATGATCTTTTTCTCAAGTTTATGTTTCGATTTCTATCTGTTCGCCTGATAATTGATATATAGTCTAAGATATTGTGATAACAAGAAATTTTTTTTGACAAAAGATTGCAATTGCAACACGAATTCATCTGTGAAATCATAAAAATGTTGGAAGATCTGAGAAATAAAAGACAACGAAGCTTTCGACACATTTGATAGAAAAAGATAATCACTATCGACTTCCTTGACGGATGAACCATAATGCTACATTATAAACCTCGTTCCTAGATACTGTAACATTGCATGTAAATACAGCTAATAATTCTATTTATAACTAATGACAACAGTAGCATGCTTAGTTTGGAGATCCGATATGGTTATTGACCTGCAATTAGTGTGAATATGTTTGAAGCTATGTAATGTACTTGCAATGAACTTCTTTGCATCATGTACATATTGTCTATCAGGATGATCTTTTTCTCAAGTTTATGTTTCGATTTCTATCTGTTCGCCTGATAATTGATATATAGTCTAAGATATTGTGATAACAAGAAATTTTTTTTGACAAAAGATTGGAATTGCAACACGACTTCATCTGTGAAATCATAAAAATGTTGGAAGATCTGAGAAATAAAAGACAACGAAGCTTTCAACACATTTGATAGAAAAATATAATCACTATCGACTTCCTGGACGGATGAATCGTAATGCGACAAAAAATAGACATGAAATGTAGTTAAGGTGCTGTCTTTCATCTCAAGACTTGCTTCATAGCTTCACTTGCATAGGTAGGGTGGATTTCATGACCATCCTTTGGCTCCACATGCATCCACTTAAGTCCACTCAATTTGTGGCGCTCAAACTTGACACAATCTTCCTTCAAAGCATAGAGAGTGTGATTTTTCTCGATCTCAACATTATGTCAAGGATGGAAACGCGTTGTCCTTTGATGAACAATGGTGTTCCTAGGTGTCACCCTCTACACCACATAATGACGCATTGCATTAGATAAAATGAAGAATAAGCACATCTTTGATCGATTATTTATACATTCTACATAATTAGGATTCCTATAATATGCAATTTGTCTGTAACTTTCGATTTCCAAAATTCTCGGACATAGATTCAAAGTACCATATTAATTTATGATCATAAGTTTCTAAAAAGGGTCTCCAGAGTTGCAAACAATAAAATGACACATTTTTTATTGAAGATTTTCTATTAAATCGATGATCAGTTAGATAGATAAGCATATGAGAAATTTAAAAACTTATGAGTGGATTAAAACTAATTGAAGAACATAACTAATTCTGTGATATTACTATAAGATTCCAGCTTCAATTTGAGAAATGGATTCCAAATTCAGTGAGTTCTCGATAGTCGTTGAGGAAAAGAAAATTATAATTTGTGCTCCACAAACAAAATTGATTGTCTTTGCCCATCTTTAGTTTTTAAATTGCTTTTTTTGATTTTGGAAGTCATTAAACGAAAGTATAATCTTTGCTGGATTCAAAAGATTTCAGTTACACAATGTTGTTTGTGATATATTTATAGATGTTATTGTTTTTAGATATATTTCATATGTCAATCAGTATTTTTAGTCTTATTAACATATGAAATAATATTTTATAATGACGTAAATACGAATTTTTGGTAACATTTATAAGCTATCAAAATAAGTGAAAAACGGGTCACGAGCGACACTAATTAAATTAGGTTGCTTCCAATGGCCCCAAATAGGTTTAGAGTTGGGTCAATTCGTTGAGATGTTGATTTTTCAATCAGTTATTTGGTCAATGCTATTGAGAAAATATACCTGGTTACATTATCACCCGAGAGGTTATTTGACAACAATTTGCTCAGCAGTAATTGTCAAGAGTGGCCATAAAAATTGAAGCAAAGGGACTTGTAATGGTTGAGAATAGGCGAATCATCCTCACACGCCCACGAGGGCGCTCTTCTGGGACTATAACCCTTGTTAGAGTGTTCTTTATTCAATGCGAGCCAAACTTTGTAGCTCCTTATTATGGATAGCCATTCAGCCCTTGAGGTTACGAGACACTCAAAGGTAGCCTTTCCCCTCACATGTGGCCGGCAAGCTAAGATATACAACATAGTACAATATAAGGACATAGAAAGCTTGTCATCATACCTGCATAAGGGATATCGTTAGTGCACTTTCGAAGAATATAGTTTTAAACCCGCAATAAGCAATCTTGTCATGCTACATGAGTATGGGAGTTCTCTAGGTTCATGACTCACTCCCCACTTAAACCGCTAATGACCTCATAGCGGACTTGTGTTTCACCTCTTCATGCATTACATACTCCTTCCAAGTTAGTGGGTCCGAAAATTCTTCCACAATTGCGGCATCATCCCCCTGATGTGCAGGTGTCCAAGTGCCCCTGCATCTCTTCTCGCAGTACCTCGTACATGCCGCCTTCTACACCACCTTCACCCCATGCACCTTTGTATTAGTTCTTGAGTAGAAGGCTCTTCTGGCCGAGGCGTCACCACGCATGTCAAAGCATATCCACGAATGTCCCCCATATTCAATTTCCATAGCAATGCCTTGATCTTACCCTTGCGAAACAAACGTTCTTACAGTCGACAAAACTGCATAACGCATGTTCCCAACATTCATCAACCTCAAAGTTTTCCATCCTTGATTCTGCTTACTTGCCAGATGCTTTGCCACATGTTGGCGGTCCTAGAATCTTCTCCGCAGGAACGTACGCCATTAGTCTTAAGTAAACCAACAATGCAACGTTCGAAGCGGACCTACTATGATACCACATGTAACGGACCGCTTGTTCGACCCTTGAGGTTACGGGACACCCCAAGACAGCCTTTCCCCACACATGCGACTGGCAAGTTAAGATATGCAACACAACACAATATAAGGACATAGAAAGCTTGTCATCATATCTGCATAAGGGACATCGTTAGTGCACTTCGGAAAAATATAGTAATAAACCCGCAATAAGCAATCTTGCCATGCCACACAGGTAGGGAAGATCTCTAGGTTCGTGACTTCGTGCTCTAGCTAGATGTTTTATGATGTACTTTTGACTCGAAGGCTTTATTTATGAGGCGTTTTATCCATTTATTTTAATGAAAGCTAGTTATTGTTGCCTTACAAAAAAAAAAATAGTGAATTATAGTCCTTGTTTAAGCCTCCTCATTCTCAAAATTCATTTTATCAAAACTCATTTTTAACTATACATTATTTTATAAAATAATTTTAAATGTAAACCAAATTTTTTCCTTATTCTCTAAGCATTCATTCTACAAAAAATCACTATTCTCAAATACATGATCCCAAAAAGTGGGGCTCAAACAGGAATTTACCAACCTGGTCCTAGATCCAGCCACTTCAACCAAATGATTAAAAATGGCTTATTTTCAAAAGCAAAATAGAATAAAGAAATGAACAATTGTGCAAGCAAATGACAAGTTTGTTGTAGAAGAGCTTTGAAGCAATCTTTTTATTTTTGTTTGAAACTAATTATTAAAATAACTTTGTACTTCGAAAGCACTTTTAGAGAAAGTTATATTGAACCAACTTTTTCTAAAATCTCTTCTCATTAAAAGAAACACTTTTATAAAATTAGTCAAACACTCTTATTTTCAACCACAATATTTCATAAAATAATATTACACATAAATTGAAAAAATTTCCTTCTTTTTTAACCACACATTTTCTAAAAAAAATATTATTCTAAACATCAAAATTTGAAAAGAAAGACGGCCAAACAAGAGCTAAATCTCACAAAACTCATTTTGACTTTTGAAAAGTCATGCCTCTAAAAACAAAGTATATATTTTTTTTATTACATAAAAATTGAACGACTCGGCATGTAACCCAACATTTTGTCATTTTCCATTTCAATAACGATAAATTTAATTGTCAATACATTCCATGAAAGATGTCACTTTTTACCCAAATTCTTACTTTGTGCTATTTAAATGATTTTTATCATGGAAAATATTTTCCTACTTTTGTAGCATGATCATAATTTCCTTGTTTTCTATGGGGGAGTATGTTCTTATTTTCCAGGTAATTGTCTCTCTCATCTACCCCATCTTTCTTATCTGTTCATAAATAAAAAATTGATAAGTATAATATTTTATAGGTTGAAAATTAAATTAATCAAACACATTTAATTGACAGTATTCATGCAAATAAATTTAAAACAATTCAATCATCCAGAATTAACTTTCTTTTTTTGTTTTTCATGTAAGTTTCATGCTTGCCATTAAACATCCTACAAGTGAAAGTGATTCCAAATCCACCCATTGATTAAGATCCGCAATTCCCTTTATAGGACTAGGATCTTTCCTAACCCCAAAACATATACGACGTCGTACCTATCTGGCTTCTTCTCCCCGATTCCTACATTTTGTTGTATTGTCGACGAACTTCTCCGTTATTTCAGTCTAGTCGATTAGCAGGCTATTCCTGTCTCCATTGCAGCTTCTGCCAGCAAAATCTCTCTCTCTCTCTCTCTCCTCTCTCTCTCTCTCTCTATAACATATACACACTGTATATCTTTTTTGTTTTCTCTGTCCAGGGCTTTCTTAACCGCGTCTGCTTTGAAAATTTCTTTTGACAGGTAATATATGACTATCTAGAATTCAAATCAAAAGCTATCAAATTTGATCTTCCAACGAATCTTCTGTCTTGTTCAAGGTAAATTTTTATATGTATATCTGTATCTTTTAGCTTTTTCAAGATAATTAATTGGTTTCTGTGTGCTATTTCAGTTCGATATATAAATGAGAATCAGGGTTACAATTTAGAAGGTATTTAAATTAAAAAAAAAAAAACAACTAGTCTTTTCGCCGTGTGATTTTGATTTTGGTGAATTCAGTCATTTTAGTGCGTACTTTTGAATTCTGAAAAAAAAAAAAAAATTCTCTGAGATTTGTACTTTTCGGTTATTGTGCATTTCGATAATGATCTTTATATTTTTGATTTTGCGTTGTGTTCTTTTTATACCCTTGAACCCCAATTATTTCGTTTTCTATTAATACGGTTGAAATTTTTCAGGAGTTTTGGGATTTTTCAGGATTGACTGGCTGATTTGACTTAATCTTTCTTGTCTTTGTGCCATTTTATGCAAATAATCAGTATTTGTATGTGCATTGGCTATTTGCCTAATAATTTAATTTTTTTTTTCCTCTACAAGTTCTGCCACTGTTTGATTTAGCTAAAAATCTAATCTTTAGTATATTTTAGTAAAAGTTGATGAAATGTGTAATTAAGAAGTTGATAAAGTTGTTGGTCCCGTTAAATTTAATTGTTGACTTTGAGTTAGATTTTTATCAACTTTTTTGGCTAAATCAAACGGGGGCTAGTGTGTTCCGCCTCTCATTCTGTTGGGGTCTGCTTGGGAGTTTTGATTACCGGTTATGGGGTTTCTTAAAGTACCCGTTTTGGCGTGTATCAGGGGTCCGGTTTCGGGTGGTTTTTAGTAGTGTTTTTTAGAACAGTATGATGTATCGACACGGACACGTGTGTTCGGCACGATACGTTTCGGATACATCGATTCGTCATTAAATTCTTTAAAATCCTTCATTTATATAGTTTAAATTTAGTTTTATACTTATTATTGATTTTTTTTTGTTGAAATCTTTTAAATATGAGTACTTATTTATTATTTACTAATAATTTTGAATTAAAAATATATAATAGCTATAGTATGAAAGGAAAATGATTATCTTAGAGTATCTGAAGAGTGTCGGTATCGGACACGGACACGATACCCTAGTTAGAGTGTCCATGCTACATAGGTCGAATCCATGCTTTACTTTCTGAATAAGGTTTCCCTTTTCGATTACAGTTCAGCAGTAGTTCCAGATGCATTTATCTCAAGTGTTCATTGTTTCCTGCAGGGGTGGCAGTCCTGGATAAAAGTGTGTAATATTCCTGAGTAAGGATTTCTAGATAATTGTCTGGTAATTTTTCTCTAATGTATTGACTATCAAAGTTTTTCTTCTTTTATTTTTTGGTGTACGCATGTGCAGGGTGGTCTCCAGTGAGATTCCAACGTATTTTCTTTTTTCTTTTTTTGTTTATTTTTATGACTGGTATTGATGTATTTTAATATATTAAGGCATCTTTACTCAGATTCAAGGTGCTGATTTAAACGCACAATTCACTCGTCCACTTGAACAATTTGAAGCCATGTATAACGAGGGAGCCCCAGAGTTTATTGTTGATCGGGGTTTGTATTATCCTACTGCCACCAATTATGGGTATATAGGAACTGGTAAATATGTCCTACTCTGATGTCTTTTTTGTTGAGTTTGAGTTTACAATAATTAGTTATGGAACCTGATAGATTCCACATTCTGCTTCATTTTTGGTAGGATTTGAGTCACCCGCTAACTGGAATGACCACAATGGGATTTTTGTTTTGAATGGTCAAGATGTTCAGTACACCGTGAGTGGCATTCTAAGGAATTTATTATCTGGAGTCTTCTCAAGTTATTGAATATATGGATCTTGTCTTGCAGGGTTTGCCAAATGATTGTTTGCCATATGTGTATTATGCACCTAACTACGGTTATGCACAGGCTCCTTATAATCCGTATAATCCTTACATTCCTGGTTCTATGATAGGAGTAGATGGCCCACTTGTAGGGGGCCAGCAGTACCACACCGTTCCCTCTTACGAGATTCCTGTTTCTTCTACTGCATATGTGCCTGTTGCTTTTCAATCTAATCTTGATATTATCGATAATGCTGCATCTGTTAGTCAAGTTGATGGTCAAGCTCGTAAGCACAATTTGTCTTCAAAATCTCCATCTTTTACTCGGGTGTCGTTAGGGAATGGTTCTAGTTTGACTAATTCATTTAGAATGGTAGCTGATGGAACCAGAGGTAACGCTGGATGTAGCAACAAGCCCATGCCTCATGGAAGTGGTAAATCTGGTGGTTTTTCAGGCCCAGCATTGCCACAAATTCACCAGGTAAGACTCTGATGAGATAATGGCTGTTGCAAAAGGAGATATTTACTTGTTTTTCAGTGTCCAGGCTATTTTGTTCCCTCATTTCCTTTTTGTCTCTGTGGTCTGTGACATATTCCCCTGATCCTGTCTTTTGCAGGGTAGAGGTTCTCAACCCGTAAAAAATGTTTCAACTGGTTGTACTCAACCGAAGCTTGCTCTTCTTCCTGACAATGGATTATCTGGTTTTGAATCGAGTGATTGTGCCTTGGGATCTGTAGATGAAGTTAAACCCATGTTACTAAATAAGAAATTTCTAGATGATGTAAAAGTCAGTCCTGAGACCGTGGAACATAATCACGGGCCTAAAACTAACAAATCGAAAAATCAATTGGTGGTTAAATCGTACACAACAAGGGCTGGAGATCCTGATGCACAAGGAAACATAACTATTCATACCAATCAGTATAGGAAGGGTGATTTTGCTCTTGATTATGTCTATGCAAAGTTCTTTGTGATTAAATCATATAATGAGGATGACGAGCACAAGAGTATAAAATACAATGTGTGGTCGTCTACGCCTAATGGAAACAAGAAGCTAAATAATGCTTACAAAGATGCTCAGATAATAGCTGCTGCAGATTCAAGAGGCTGCCCTGTCTTCCTCTTTTTTTCTGTGAGTTACATTATTTGACTTAACTCTGTTTAGCACCTATATTATGTCTCAATCACTGTTTTGCTTTTCAATGACTTTTTCCATTATGCATCAATGTTACTGATTAGTGCTCATGTATTCTTTTGCTGAAGGTTAATGCAAGTGGCCGGTTCTGTGGGGTTGCAGAGATGATTGGTCCTGTGGATTTTCATAAAGATAAGGATTTCTGGCAGCAAGATAAATGGAGTGGTTGCTTCCCTGTGAAGTGGCACATGGTAAAAGATGTACCAAACCCCAACTTCAGGCACATTATACTAGAGAATAATGAGAATAAGCCAGTGACTAACAGCAGAGACACACAAGAGGTATGTTTCCATTTTTCTATGGTCCTATTTGATCAAATAAATCAATAAGAAGATTATTATTAGTGAACATTTTGTGTGATTTTATTCATATTTGATGTCATCTCTTTAAGTTGACTTCTAAGTGATTATGATAATACAGACAAATCCATTCATTGCTTTACTAGTTCTGGAACTAAATGAGAACAGCTGTCTTGGCTATCTAAATAACCTCATTCAGTAGTTTGTCCCTCATTAACTCAGTTCTTGTTATGTTCTTAGTTCTGTTGATTAAGATTTTTTCAAGAGTTACTAGCAGTTCGTATTGCCCCTTATAAATTTACATTTTAAGGACTCCAAATCCGACCCATTTATTATATGAATGTAGTGTGCCTTCAGTGCATTTCATGGATTTTAGATAGTACAGGTTTGCAGTTCTAATTTTACACAAAAGTTGATTCTACTGGAGACCAAAGCAGCAGTTGTAAATAAACTTGTTTGAAAAGTTGGAAATTTTAGCCCCTGTTTGATCCAGGTTAATCTCAAGTCAAAGTTAAAAATAATTTTAACCAATCATTTCATAAAAGCCACAGTTTTTCAACCACACATTTCATTAACATTCATCAAAATCTACTAAAAATCTTATTTTAATCTACACCAAACAGGGGCTTAGTTTCATTTTGGAATCCTGTCATTATCATGTGTTGAATTTAGAAATAGAAAGGTGCCTCCATTTGGCAAATTTATAAATAGAAATAGTAAGAGAAATGGTAGTGGGTCCCATGAAGTGTTTGGCTGTGACTGAATTTTGGTGAATTGACATGGAGGATCATGGTAATAAAGTAATTAGGTTTTCAAGTTTTTGAGATTTAGAGTTCCATAAATATTCATCAATATGTACATATTTTTGAAGAGCAAAGTGAATTTTTAAAATCATGTTGCGAAAAAATAAATAAATAACTAAAATTGGAGTGTTCCCAAGATCTGTAAAATGCATCCAATGTGTTATACATCTATTTTATGGGAAAAAACATGAAATGTATATGTTCATCATATTTCAGTCTAAAGATTATGGATTTTATTGATTTACGTTGTTGAATAGTTAAAGAATTTAATATAGTTTTCTTATAATTGTTCCAAGTCTCTTCTTTTTATTTAGATATTTTGGAGACTTTTATCTATGAAAATTTATATAAACCTCGTTCCTAGATACTGTAACATTGCATGTAAATACAGCTAATAATTCTATTTATAACTAATGACAACAGTAGCATGCTTAGTTTGGAGATCCGATATGGTTATTGACCTGCAATTAGTGTGAATATGTTTGAAGCTATGTAATGTACTTGCAATGAACTTCTTTGCATCATGTACATATTGTCTATCAGGATGATCTTTTTCTCAAGTTTATGTTTCGATTTCTATCTGTTCGCCTGATAATTGATATATAGTCTAAGATATTGTGATAACAAGAAATTTTTTTTGACAAAAGATTGGAATTGCAACACGACTTCATCTGTGAAATCATAAAAATGTTGGAAGATCTGAGAAATAAAAGACAACGAAGCTTTCAACACATTTGATAGAAAAATATAATCACTATCGACTTCCTGGACGGATGAATCGTAATGCGACAAAAAATAGACATGAAATGTAGTTAAGGTGCTGTCTTTCATCTCAAGACTTGCTTCATAGCTTCACTTGCATAGGTAGGGTGGATTTCATGACCATCCTTTGGCTCCACATGCATCCACTTAAGTCCACTCAATTTGTGGCGCTCAAACTTGACACAATCTTCCTTCAAAGCATAGAGAGTGTGATTTTTCTCGATCTCAACATTATGTCAAGGATGGAAACGCGTTGTCCTTTGATGAACAATGGTGTTCCTAGGTGTCACCCTCTACACCACATAATGACGCATTGCATTAGATAAAATGAAGAATAAGCACATCTTTGATCGATTATTTATACATTCTACATAATTAGGATTCCTATAATATGCAATTTGTCTGTAACTTTCGATTTCCAAAATTCTCGGACATAGATTCAAAGTACCATATTAATTTATGATCATAAGTTTCTAAAAAGGGTCTCCAGAGTTGCAAACAATAAAATGACACATTTTTTATTGAAGATTTTCTATTAAATCGATGATCAGTTAGATAGATAAGCATATGAGAAATTTAAAAACTTATGAGTGGATTAAAACTAATTGAAGAACATAATTAATTCTGTGATATTACTTTAAGATTCCAGCTTCAAATTGAGAAATGCATTCCAAATTCTGTGAGTTCTCGATAGTCGTAGAGGAAAAGAAAATTAGAATTTGTGCGCCACAAACAAAATTGATTGTCTTTGCCCATCTTTAGTTTTTAAATTGCTTTTTTTGATTTTGGAAGTCATTAAACGAAAGTATAATCTTTGCTGGATTCAATAGATTTCAGTTACACAATGTTGTTTGTGATATATTTATAGATGTTAGTGTTTTTAGATATATTTCATATGTCAATCAGTATTTTTAGTCTTATTAACATATGAAATAATATTTTATAATGATGTAAATACGAATTTTTCGTAACATTTATAAGCTATCAAAATAAGTGAAAAACGGGTCACGAGCGATACTAATTAAATTAGGCTGCTTCCAATGGCCCCAAATAGGTTTAGAGTTGGGTCAATTCCTTGAGATGTTGATTTTTTCGATCAGTTATTTGGTCAATGCTACTGAGAAAATATACCTGGTTACATCATCACCCGAGAGGTCATTTGACAACAAAATGCTCAACAGTAATTCTCAATAGTGGCCATAAAAATTGAAGCAAAGGGACTTGTAATGGTTGAGAATAGGCGAATCATCCTCACACGCCCACGAGGGCGCTCTTCTGGGACTATAACCCTTGTTAGAGTGTTCTTTATTCAGTGCGAGCCAAACTTTGTAGCTCGTTATTATGGATAGCCCATTCAGCCCTTGAGGTTACGAGACACTCAAAGGTAGCCTTTCCCCTCACATGTGGCCAGCAAGCTAAGATATACAACATAGTACAATATAAGCACATAGAAAGCTTGTCATCATACCTGCATAAGAGATATCGTTAGTGCACTTTCGAAGAATATAGTTTTAAACCCCCAATAAGCAATCTTGTCATGCTACATGAGTGTGGGAGTTCTCTAGGTTCATGACTCACTCCCCACTTAAACTGCTAATGACCTCATAGCGGACTTGTGTTTCACCTCTTCATGCATTACATACTCCCTCCAAGTTAGTGGGTCCGAAAATTCTTCCACAATTGCGGCATCATCCCCCTGATGTGCGGGTGTCCAAGTGCCCCTGCACCTCTTCTCGCAGTACCTCGTACATGCCGCCTTCTACACCACCTTCACCCTATGCACCTTTGTATTAGTTCTTGAGTAGACGGCTCTTCTGGCCGCCGCGTCACCACGCATGTCAAAGTATATCCACAAATGTCCCCCATATTCAATTTCCATAGCAATGCCTTGATCTTGCCCTTGCGAAACAAACGTTCTTACAGTCGACAAAACTACATAACGCATGTTCCCAACATTCATCAACCTCAAAGTTTTCCATCCTTGATTCTGCTTACTTTCCAAATGCTTTGCCACATGTTGGCGGTCCTAGAATCTTCTCCGCAGGAACGTACGCCATTAGTCTTAAGTAAACCAACAATGCAACGTTCGAAGCGGACCTACTATGATACCACATGTAACGGACCGCCTGTTCAACCCTTGAGGTTACGGGACACCTCAAGACAGCCTTTCCCCACACATGCGACTGGCAAGTTAAGATATGCAACACAACACAATATGAGGACATAGAAAGCTTGTCATCATATCTGCATAAGGGATATCGTTAGTGCACTTCGGAAAAATATAGTAATAAACCCGCAATAAGCAATCTTGCCATGCCACACAGGTAGGGAAGATCTCTAGGTTCGTGACTTCGTGCTCTAGCTAGATGTTTTATGATGTACTTTTGACTCGAAGGCTTTATTTATGAGGCGTTTTATCCATTTATTTTAATGAAAGCTAGTTATTGTTGCCTTACAAAAAAAAAAATAAAAAATAGTGAATTATAGTCCTTATTTAAGCCTCCTCATTCTCAAAATTCATTTTTTCAAAACTCATTTTTAACTATACATTATTTTATAAAATAATTTTAAATGTAAATCAAATTTTTTCCTTATTTTCTAAGCATTCATTCTACAAAAAATCACTATTCTAAAATACATGATCCCAAAAAATGGGGCTCAAACAGGAATTTACCAACCTGGTCCTAGATCCAGCCACTTCAACCAAATGATTAAAAATGGCTTATTTTCAAAAGCAAAATAGAATAAAGAAATGAACAATTGTGCAAGCAAATGACAAGTTTGTTGTAGAAGAGCTTTGAAGCAATCTTTTTATTTTTGTTTGAAACTAATTTTTAAAATAACTTTGTATTTCAAAAGTACTTTTAGAGAAAGTTATATTGAACCAACTTTCTCTAAAATCTCTTTTCATTAAAAGAAACACTTTCATAAAATTAGTCAAACACTCTTATTTTCAACCACACAATATTTCATAAAATAATATTACACATAAATTGAAAAAATTTCCTTCTTTTTTAACCATACATTTTCTAAAAAATATATTATTCTAAACATCAAAATTTGAAAAGAAAGACGGCCAAACAAGAGCTAAATCTCACAAAACTCATTTTGACTTTTGAAAAGTCATGCCTCTAAAAACAAAGTGTATATTTTTTTTATTACATAAAAATTGAACGACTCGGCATGTAACCCAACATTTTGTCATTTTCCATTTCAATAACGATAAATTTAATTGTCAATACATTCCATGAAAGATGTCACTTTTTACCCAAATTCTTACTTTGTGCTATTTAAATGATTTTTATCATAGAAAATATTTTCCTACTTTTGTAGCATGATCATATTTTCCTTGTTTTCTATGGGGGAGTATGTTCTTATTTTCCAGGTAATTGTCTCTCTCATCTACCCCATCTTTCTTATCTGTTCATAAATAAAAAATTGATAAGTATAATATTTTATAGGTTGAAAATTAAATTAATC